AAAGCACAGTCCCTACTATGTATCATAAAGCAGGTACTAGATATTTTACATTCATAGAGGTATGATAACAGTACCATCCTACATCAATAATACTAGATTCAGTTTTGGTTTGAAATTTACTTTGTCTGCAAATAAAATTGCTACCCCTGTTTTTTTCTGGGCTCCTGTCATGTGGAGAATTGTTTTCTATCGCTTCACTTTCAGTCTATGGGCTTCTTTTTGCACTAGGTGTGTTTCTTGTATACAACATATTGTTGGATTTTGCTTCTTATTCCATTTTGCCAGTCTATTTCTCTTGATTGGTGAGTTGAGGCCATTGACATTGCTGGTTATAACTGATATGTACTGACTTATTATTGACATGTTATTGGCCTGTTGTTGACTCTTTTTACTTTTTCACCTTCTCCTTTTAATTTCTTGCCTTGCCTATTTGATTTGCTCTGTTGGGCCTCATGGTGTTGTTGCCTTCATTGTCTTTTTCTAGGATCTTGTTTAGAATTGCTTGTAGTGCTGGTTTGGTATTCATATAGTTTCCCAGGTGTTCTTTGTCGTGGAAGTGTCTTATTTTCCCATCCATTTTGAAAGAGAGTTTTGCTGGATACATCAGTCTAGGCTGGAAGTGGTTCTCTTTTAGTACTTGAAATATCTCATTCCAGGCTCTCCTTGCCCAAAGGGTTTGTGTTGAAAAGTCTGCTGTGATTCTGATGGGCTTCCTTTGTATGTGATTTGTTTCTTTTCTCTTACTGCTTGTAGTATTTTGCTCTTCTGTTGTCCAGCCCTTTTAAATATTGACTTTTGGAGCTGGAAGTGGTTCTCTTTTAGTACTTGAAATATCTCATTCCAGGCTCTCCTTGCCCAAAGGGTTTGTGTTGAAAAGTCTGCTGTGATTCTGATGGGCTTCCTTTGTATGTGATTTGTTTCTTTTCTCTTACTGCTTGTAGTATTTTGCTCTTCTGTTGTCCAGCCCTTTTAAATATTGACTTTTGGAGGTGTTTTGGATTGTTTGTTTTGTTTTTGAGACAAAGAGCTCCCTATGTAGTTCAAGCTGGCCTGGAACTCACCTTTTAGCCCAGGCTGGTCTTGAACTCACAGTGATTCTCCTGTCAGTCTCCCAAATGCTGGGATTACAGGGATTCAACACCACATCTGATTTAGGTACCTAACTTTAAGCAGGTTAGAAGCCATGATTTTAGCAACAACAACGACAGTCCATCAAATTACACCAAAGAGCAAAACAGAGTGATAGACATGGGTTTATGAAGTTAGCCTTAGCTTTTTTTTTTCTTTTTCTGCCTACATACTCTTCCTGTCAGATTTTCATATAGCAGCTTCCAAGTGAGAATTCCTAGAAACTGAATTCTCTTGATACCTTCTAACTTTTGCACAGACCACAAGAAATTATGAATAACAACAACCCTAGAGTGACAGATGGACATTTTATGATTTGTGTGTGTGTGTGTGTGTGTGTGTGTGTGTGTGTGTGTGTGTTTTGGTACCTGGAGTTGAACTCAGGACCTTGTGCTTGTGAGGCAGGTGTCGTGCCACTGAGTTAAATCTCCGGCCCAAGATGGATATTTTAAATTGCATTTATGCAGTGGTCAGGGATTTAGCTCAATGGTGCCACTGCCTGCCTCTCAAACACAAGGTCCTTAGTTTGTTCCCGGTACCAAAACAAAAAACAAAAAACAAAAACAAAAAAAGATACAAATTGCATTTATGCATAACCCAAATGCTGAGGTTTGTGGCAAGATATGGACCTAAGGTCTCAGCCTTTCCTTGTATCCTTCCATCTTCAGGAGGGAATCTACTAAAAGTCAGGGCAAAGGAAGAGACAATGCTTTCAGTCGAAAGATGAAAAACTGGCAGAAATGGGTCACGTGTGAAATGAAAAGTTCCTGTGTTCCTAAAGTTTGTAAAACTGAGTTAATGCCATCTGCATTTTGATTTTGTAAGAAGTTAGATGACATATAATTACTTTTTTTTTTTTTTTGGTTTTTTGAGATAGGGTCTCACCATGTAGTTAAGACTAACCTGGACCTCACTATGTAGCCCAGGCTGGTCTCGAACTCACGTAAATCCTCCTGCCTCAGCCTCCCGAGTGCTAGGATTACAGGTGTGCGCCACCACACCTGGCTTCATGTAATTACTTTTGGGCTATCCACTGAGGGTTGAGATTAGACAAAAGAGAGTAAAATGCTTTCCCAGGTTGGAATCATGAGATGTGAGCCTTTAAGAGGATTTTAGAAGTTACATAATCATAAAGACAAGAATGGTAGACCCACAGAGCACTTTATCAAAATTTTAATCCAGCCAAAATTAAGTCTAATTTAATTTTAGGCTTAAAAATTTCAAACCAGAAGTTTGCCATGGTGGTTAGCACTCTGGGAGGATGAGGCAGGAAGATTATAAATTCCAGTCCAGGCTGGGCAACTTAGACCTCTCTCAAAAATAAAAAATAAAAAAGGGGCTGGGTAATGTAGTTTAGTGTGAAGGATTCAATTTCCAACAACACACACACTCACACACACACACATGTGCAGTCTAACCAAAAAATAAGAAAAAGTGATTTACAGACATTAAGAAACAGAAAAGAAGGTAGAAACCTGAAAGTAAAGAGTTTTCAAAAAGAAAATAAATCCTGACTTGAGAAGTTATAAGATGAAGGTATGGAAAATATAGTGGCTTTTTTTTTTTTTTTAGTGAAATATTTCATCAGCTACTAAAAGTAGCCGGGTGTGGTGGTGCATGCCTATAATCCTAATACTCAGGAAGCTGAGGCAGGAGGATTGCTGTGAGTTCGAGATCAGCCAGGGATACATAGTGAGTTCCAGGTCAGTCTCAACTACATAGTGAGACCCTGTCTCAGAAAAAAAAAAAAAAAGCACTAAAAGTAGTCCAGGATTTCAGTCACATGCTAAAACAGTCCTTTGTAGAAAAAAATTTTGGAACTATCTGTATTGCATATTTGAGTGATTCAATTATATTTTTATACACTGCCTCTGGAATGCCACACAAAGGTGCTAAACATGTCACTTTGATGATTTAGCGTCGCCATACAAATATAATAATCTAGGTATGTATACTGTTTGGCATTCTGAATTGGCAATGCTTGTATCGTGATATGTTTAAGTATTTTGACATCTACTTCTGAATTTTGAGAACTCTGTCAAAAGCACAGCCAGCATTCCTGCTCTTCTGCACCTACCAAATGAGCAGTTCCGAGTGAACAGCTTTCCTAAATCTTGTAGCCTCCGGGTAAAATTCCAGTTAGATTTGATTTGTTTCCCCTTTAAGATTTATAAATGAGTCTATTTAATTTTTGCCAAAGCTTTTTTTGTTTGTAAAATTATTAAGTATTTACCTGTCCCCATTATCACAACACAGAGTTTTCTGGAGACCTTCTGCAAGGCAATGCCAGGGTGGACAGGGTCTGAAACACAATGATTACAGGATGGGGGTGTGACTGAATTCCATGTGCTTCCACAGTGGTTCCCAAACTTCCTCCACTTGCCAGCTGCGAGTGTTGTTAGGAATATTGATTTCTGGGCCTTGTCCTATACTTATGAACTCAAAATCCCGTGAGGGTGTAACCAGGAATCCACTTTTTTTTTTTTTTTTTTTTTTTTTTGGTACCGGGGATCGAACGCGGGTCCTTGAGCTTGAGAAGCAGGAACCGGAACCACTGAGCTAAACCCCCGGCCCTATGAAATCCATATGTTTTAAATAAGCGCGGGAGGCTGACCACGAACCACAGGTGGGATTTACGGGACCCAGGCCGCGTCCGGCCTCGCCCAGGCCCCGCCCCTCACGCCCTGCCCCCGCCCCTTACGCCCACTCCGGCCTCGCCCAGGTACCGCCCCTCTAGCGGATAGCCTCCTCGCAGGCCCTTTCCCATGGTGCTTCGCGCTGGGCTGTCGCGGTTGCCAGGCAATTTAAAATCAGGGCGCAGGGCCCGCGGGATTCTACTGGGACATGGGGCCTCAGGGCCTCCAGCCGCTCCTGCTGGTGCTCTTGACCCGCTGGACTTACGTGAGCGCCCAAACCGTGGCCATCCCCGCGGTGCCGACGGAGGACCTCAACTCCACCGAGGCACCCTCAGGCCCTCTCGGACCCTCCCTGACGCCTAGGTTCCTAGGCACCTCCAGGACCCCGGAGCCCTCCTCCGGTCCCAGGCCTACCCCCGTCACGGATGGTGGGTACCAAACGCTAATTCCTGGGAGGTCCAGAGTGATCCAAACTGGAAAGGTAGCCTGGGTGATGACTTAGAGTTTAACATCTACAATGTGCTGGCAGGTTGAGTGTTTCATAGATGCGAATTCTCCCACTAGTGACCCTGGTAGATACTGTCCATGCCATACAGACGAGGAAACCGAGGCTCAGAAGGCGAGTGGGGCCTTATCAGATCTTTGAAAGTACTTGGCTCTGGATATCATTAATGCTACAGACAATAATGAATGAATGTGAAGATGAAATTAAGTAGGTCTTTGGACAGCGGTGGAAATTAATGCATAAGCTGCATTGAACTTATTAAAAACAGACGTCAAATGTCCAGCTTAGTGTGACTGGGTGAAGTGGTTGATTCCAATGGCAAGCGCCAGGGGTCTTGTGTTTTGTTGGGATTGGAAAGGTACGGGATGAGTGGTTATTCCTACTTCGGAGAATTTATATTTAGGGACAGTCAACATATATCTCAGAAAGTGATCTTTTAATTCTGTAATTTAAAATTTAATGCATATTGGGCCGGGAATTTAGCTCAGTGGTTCCACCGTCTGCCTTGCAAGCAGAAGGACCCAAGTTGGATCCCTGGTACCAAAAAAAAAAAAAAAAAAAAAAACCAAAATTTAATGAATATTTTGTAATCTGATTTGACATGGTGACTTCGGGAGATGTCATTGACTCCTTGTGAGTTCAAGTTTGTGAATATGTATTTCTTGTTTTGTTTTGTTTTTTGTACCGGGGGTCGAACTCAGGACCTTGTGTTTGTGAGGCAGGCACGGTGCCACTGGGCTAAATCCCAGGCCCTGTGAATATCTATTTCTGGGGTGAAGGTCATAGTAGTCAGCAGATTCTCAAAGGGAATTTTGCGATCTCAAAATTATTTTTTAATCCTGTGTCTGGATTGAGAGTACGTCAATAGGTATGTATTTTAATCTCTTTTTGAGAGAAAAAGATTTTCTTTAAGGCTCTGGTAACTTAAAAAGCCACCATTTTCTGACATCCTGAACTCTAGGCCTTAATTCGAGTTACTGAGCCATTATTTCTCCAAAAGGCCACCTTTGGAAGTTGAGTAGTCTGCAAGAAAAAATACAGGGTCAGAGGTGTAGCTCAGTGATGTAGTGTGTGTTTAGCATGCACGAAACCCTAAGTGCAAATCCCACTACCAAGAAAACTTACAGAGAAATATATTTGCTACTTTAATATATCTTTTATATTTAACTGCTTGTCCTGGTAAATTAATAGGAAAGTTAAATCAGTGCTTTATTAGGACAGAATATAGCCAAGTATTCAATACCCCAAAATTTTCTAAGGTTTTTGCACTGAGTTGTCTTTTATCCACATAAGCACTCTATCTGTTAATACACTTTTTCCCTTAAATGAAGCTGTACTTGAACTATCAATGTTTAAGGTATGTATTCAGGGCTATTTTCCCAGTATGAGTGGTAAATTTGTATTAAAATGTTTTTCAGTACTGGCATTTGAACCTAGGGTCTTTGCACTGAGCTACATTTTCTGCCCTTTTAAAATCTGAGACAAAGCCGGGCATGGTGGCGCACTCCTGTAATCCCAGCACTTGGGAGGCTGAGGCAGGAGGATCACTGTGAGTTCAAGGCCAGCCTGAGCTACATAGTGAGTTCCAGGTCAGTCTCAACTACATAGTGAGACCCTGTCTCAAAAAAAAAAAAAAAAAAAAAATCTGAGGCAGAGTCTCAATAATTCACTAAATTTTTCCAGCAGAGTTTGAACTTTTGATTCTCTTGCCTTAGCCTCCAGAATGCTGGGATTACAGGTGTGCATCACCACACCCAGCTTGATTTCCTTTTTAAAGGAGCCTTCTTTTGACTTCTGACAGTAATAACTCATTTATTAATTGCTTATGGTGTGGCAGGTACAGGGCTAGGCATTTCATCTGTGATGTGTCTTAGTCATCATGCACCCTAATGGTGTGGGCACTGTTATCTTTATTTTTCAGGTGTCCTACCTACTTGTAGGCCACGCAGCTGTGAGTGTTGGAGTGGGAGACCATCTCTGGAGAGCTAGGTGGAAAGTTGCAGAATGAGATGCAGGCTGTACTGGTGGAAGAGAACAGCGATCCCTGCTGTCTGAGGCAGGCATGCAGATGAGAGGTTTAGAAGGGCAGCTGAGTGCTGCTGGATCCACAGATCCGTGAGTCAGTGCACTTGGTTTCAAACAGAGCCCTTTATATTTCCTCATTGAAGTTATTAAATACTATTGCTTAATCCTTAGGAGCCTAATAGCTACCTATAAGGGTTTTAAGTTTTGTAAACGAGTGAAGATTGTAAGTTTAAACACATTAGGCCTAACTGTCCTTTGCATTTGTTACATTAGTGTACATGGGGTCCATCTACAAAGCACACAAGCTGATAGATGCAGGTAACCCAAGGGGAAGATGTTTGTAAGAAAGCATTGCACAGCTGGGTGTGGTGGTGCACGCCTATAATCCCAGCACTCGGGAGGCTGAGGCAGGAGGATTGTTCTGAGTTTGAGACCAGCCTGGGCTATATAGTGAGCTCCAGGTCAGTCTCAACTATATAGTGAGACCCTGTCTCAAAAAAAAAGAAAGAGCATTGCATATTTATTGATAAAACCTTCCCCTCTCACACTGTTCTCTGGAGTATGTTGCACTTTGGGGTGCCATATATTTATCATGAAATAATTCAGAGAGACAAATGTTGTATGAGTCCTCTACTAATATTTGCATGAGATTCTTTTCTTATTAGGTTTTTGCTTTTTCGGCTCCAGATCTTTTTCTGACAAAAAAAAAAAAAAAAAAAAAAAGAAGTAAAACATAGGATACGATTTTATTTCTCATTTCTACCCTCCAAGCAGTAATCCGTACCATGACCTCAGTGTTTTTATTCTCATGTTCTGCTCTTTGAAAAGCTTTTCTTATTTGACACAGGGTAAAAAAGTAGGAAAGTTTAATCAGTGATAAAGTGGGACAAAATATAGCTGAGAATTTAGTACCTGAAATTCTGAGATTTTTTAATTTAGTGGCCTTTATCCACATAATGCCGTATGATCAAAAGCTGGCAAATGTTTACATTTTTAAAAATTGATCACAGCAATGATACATTGCTATGAATCTCCTTCAGAATCCACCCCTCACTTTGAACACATTTATCCTGTCATTCTTGCCATTTGCCGAAGCAGCTCTGGAGTCCTTTTGTGTCTTTAGTTGTACTGTCTTGGCTGGCTCAGTGTCCTGAATTGATTCACAGCGTTTACCTTTCATGATCTTTTTGACATTGAGGAAGAGCAAGAAGTTGCACATTGCCCATTCTGGTGTGTAAAGTAGAGGAAGTTACACCATAATGTTTATGAGCCTGTTGGATGGCCCTCAGCAGCTGAATTCACTGTATTTTTTATCACACCTCATAAAGACACAAAAGAGGACTCCCGGAACTGCTCCTCAAAGAGGCAGGAATGATGGCATAAATGTTTTCAAATTGAGAGGCAATACTCTGAGTGGGTTTAATGGCATATCTTTTACTATAATACAATTTTTAATTTAAATATTCACTGTATATTTGGTTTCCTCTTGTAATTACTACATCTATTAAAAATCTGGATAATCATCATCAACAGTTAAAGGTTGTGTAGTGGAGGGTCCTGCCTTTCCTTCATGCTGTGTCGTCTGAGTTATCTGAGGTAGTCTAAGGACCTGAGATGGCCTGATTCTTGGCCAAAGCCCTGGAATATGAGTTCAGCTTCAGAGCTGCACGTACTGTACTAAGAAGAGGGATGAGACTGAAAACCATTTTCCCTGGAGGTGTTAAGTTGGTCCTTCCTCCAGTTGCACTCTCTAGAAGAGAAGGGGTTTGGGACTCTGGGGATGGGCCCACGATGGCTCGGATGGTCAGGCAGATGGTTAGCTGTCCTGGTTCTTAAATACATGCCAGTTATCAGGGTCACCTGAAAGTCTTGAAAAACGCAGCTGTCTGAGCTTCATATTGAGCTTTCCGTAGCCAGAGCACAAGCAGACCTTGCTGTGTCAGGTGATCAGCTGCTTCAGGGTGCCTCTGATGTAGAGCCCTCAAACCAAATAACATCCACTTCACAGATTCCCCCGAAGCACAGCACGGAACGCAAACAGCCTTTCATAGGAAGCTGATTTCTGGCGCCTTGTAGTGGCAGGGGGCAGTCACCACCCACTGATGGCATCGCTCTGAATCTTACCCCTCCTCTTCCTGCAGTTGCTGCTCTGTGTGTCTGTGACTTGTCCCCAGCACAGTGTGATGTCAACTGCTGCTGTGACCCTGACTGCAGCTCTGTGGACTTCAGTGTCTTCTCCAGCTGCTCAGTTCCAGTTGTCACGTAAGAGTATGACGTATGGTTTTGATAAAATTTGACCAACCAGGCCAGTGAAATCTGGAGACAGAAAGTGAAAACTCCCCAGGCTGAAAAACCCAAACCTGATTTCCCATGCTTTGCACGGTTCAGAAGCCATCCTGGGCAGAACCATATGTAAAGCAGTAGGCAGCCCTTACTTGCACCCAGTTGGGTGACAGTGCAGCAAAAGAGAGTGTGCAGTGCCTAGAGTAGAATGGGATGGTTGGGTGTGTGGAGAGCAGATTCCATTTCAGCTGGAGTTGTGAACAGATCTCTATCATACTCTTTGTATCAGTCAGTTAGTCTCATGTGCAGGTGAAGAGTGTGGTCTGATTTTGCAGTTCTTGTTGTGGACGCAGCACCCATAACAAAAACTTGAGCAGATAGGAGGCCTGTACTCTTTGAAATATAATTCTACCAGGAGTTCTCACAGCTCACCTGTAGAACAAATGACTCCCAGTGGATTATAAGGTAGAGACAAACTGCTTTGAATGATTTGTTCTCAGATTTCAGAGTGTCTGGAAAAAAATTAGCACTTCAAAAAGGTTTATTTATTCAGGATGGACCAATTTGCTATCGAAACAGAGTGACTATAAATTTAGCCTCACTGCAGTTTTAACAATTGACACTTGGCAGGTTGAATCTTTTTTTTTTTTTTTTTGAAGTACCTGGGTTTTTCCCATGACAACTAATTTTATTGGCCGAATGGGAAGTTGAATTTATTTCTAATGTTGTTTTAAAAAAAAATCCTGGAGAATGGGGTGGTGTAGTCAGATTAATTTTCTGACTGTAGCATGGTCCAGTCTTTGTTGAAAATCAGTCTTTTCTCCTGCCTGCGTTAACTACCAGAGCTCAAGAGTGTGATTTCTGTTTTAACCTGGGAGCATTTTTTTTTTATTGGCCGAATGGGAAGTTGAATTTATTTCTAATGTTGTTTTAAAAAAAAATCCTGGAGAATGGGGTGGTGTAGTCAGATTAATTTTCTGACTGTAGCATGGTCCAGTCTTTGTTGAAAATCAGTCTTTTCTCCTGCCTGCGTTAACTACCAGAGCTCAAGAGTGTGATTTCTGTTTTAACCTGGGAGCATTTTTTAGAATGTCATTTTTTTTTTATTAGCCTGTATGATGATTTCAGATATGGAGTCGAGTATTTAGAACGGTGTCAGCAAACTTTTTCTCTAGGAGGCCAGATAATAAATATTGCAGCTTCTCAGCTTTACCTTGGTTGAGTAAAAGCAGCTAATGATACAGGAGTGAAGGGGCATAACTAAGTTTCAGTGTAACTGTAAATACAGGAGCAGTTTGTAGACCCCTGATATAGAAAACAGTGCTAAATCTACTACCCTCAGGAAAGGATCTCAGCATAAGGAATGTTTAGGGCTGGGGATTTAGCTCAGTGCTATAGCTGCCTGCCATGCAAGTGCAAGGTCCCAAGTTCCAACCCCAGTACCACAGGGGAAAAAAAAGGAGTGTATAAAAAGCCATTCCTGTTACAGCCTGAAAGTTGTGAGAAATAGCGAGTTACCCCTTCTCTAGTGACTCCTTTTACTGAGGTGTGACAGCTGAAGGAAGGCCAAGGTTGAAAAGAAGGACCAAGAGACACGCACCACTGTCCAGCAATAGGCTGGTTCCTTTTTCTCTATAGTCGTGACTACCTTGGGCTCCTCTGTGGAGATGACAGTCTGGCCAGAGGGAGAAGGCACAGTGGGCCCCATGGCCCTTTAGTCTTGTTGGACCAGCTGGTAAGGTGGGTCTGACTTCTGTGGCCTTCACCTCAGAGGACAGTCTAACCTCCAGTGGTCAGCTTTGAAATCAGAGCATGGCTTAGGGGCCTTTTGTCATGTTGTTTTTTATCACAGTCCCTCTTAAGGTGGCATGGTTTTCTACAGCAGTAGCAGGTGAGTAGTTGTAGACCTACCTCTTCTTGGAGCCGCAAGAATCAGACTTAAGGTTATTCCTTTTAAGACCACGACCAAGGCAGCCATTTTATTTTGGTCCCTTTGTTTTCTCCCCGTGGCTTCCTCCTGGCTTCAATTATAAAATACTGAAGAGGCAATTTTCACTAAAGTATCAAGTGAACTATGTGGAGCAAAAGCCATCTTTAGTAGTTTTCTATTTTAATATCTGAGGCAGGCTGAATAATAAACTTGTTTTTAAAAATAATCTATGCTATCGAATCAGGATCACGGGATGTATGTTTTATCAGTGCCTCTAGTAAATGATCTAAGAAGGACGTATAGGGTTCTTTCTCTTGATGAATAATTGGCAATTTAAAATAATTGAAGGGCTTAGTTCTTGTCCTCCTTAGACCTTTAAGAATATAAGGTCTGGTGCCAGGGATTTACCTCAGTGGTTCTGCCACCTGCCTCACAAGCTCAAGGACCCAAGTTGGATCCCTGATGCCAAAAAAAAAAAAAAAAAAAAAAAAAAAAAAAAAAAGAATGTATGTCTGGAGATGTCTCCTAATCTCCCATCTGGTTGGTAGGCCAGTAGGGGTCCTGGGTAGGGACTGCTTGGGCTTCAGTGGGAACTGGCTGTTCCCCTGGCTGGCTGTCTTCTGGTCTTCTAAAATTAACATATGATATTTATTCCCACATGTAATAGCAGCTTGTACTGCTGCTTGTCTGTCATTAGAAGTCAATGTTTAAGAGTAACATTACATCTTTCTAGTCTAGTTCATAGGTCTTCATAATTCCTCTAAAGACCTCAGTGTACTTTAGTAGGATCATCTGAAAACTTTCCCAGATCTTGTTTGATCTGTTTGAGGTCACTGAGTGAAAAGGACTTGTGGACATGAATATGTCTGAATTTGCCATTTACTTCTTGTGAGGGATATTGTCCTTGAGGGGCTTGAATAAAATCAGCTACAGGTGGATGGCCTAGGAGAGGCCTCAATTATGGCTGGCTTAGAAGCTTCATCTTTAGACTCCACCGGGTAAGAGAGAGGGACCTCAGACTCCAAAGGGCAAGTAGTGAAAACCTCAGGCTTGTTATTGCTGGATGAGACTTTGATCAAGGTTGCCTTGGAAACCTCATCCTCAGGTTCCAAAGGGTAAGGGTGGGGTATCTCAGGCTTAGTGATAGTGGATACCTAGGGCCAGAGGTGTCTGGTTTTCTTGTGGCTTACATTTGCATTTTGAACACAAGCGTTATTTTCTAATGCAAAGAAAGTTTGAACATAAGGTAATTCTGATGGTTTTTCCTCTTTCTTACAGTATGATTTTAGTTGTGAAATAACATCATAATCATTACTTCTCTCTGAATTCCATTTTGGTTCTAGAGGGTTAGGCAGGCCATGCATAGGTACAGAAAAATACTGAACCACTCTTTTTCAATATATGAGGGTTGAACATTTTCTAATGTTGAAGAATACATTTTAAAGGAGTGAGATTTTAACATTGAGTTTCCCATCTGAAAATACAAGAAAAAGAATTGGTGTTCCTTTAATTTGTACTTGATTTCCATGTCCTCAAGGCATCCCCTAAGGTAAGCCACTCTTACCAGCTCATGACCCAATCTTTCCTGGACACTCACACTCCTAATTCTAGCAGGTGTTTCTAAAAGCACAAGCTACAGTTGGTTTTAGCTGTAACAGTCATGTTTAAAGAAGGAAGCAGTGCTAACAAAATCAATAATCAAGAGATCTAAACCCACTGTTTTCCAACTCTTTGAAAGAGAGTGACGGCAAATTGAAAGTGATTGGATCACTTCCCAGCCTGCAAAAGAAGTCATGGAGACAGAGTCAAGTTATCTACCTAATTACCTGGGCAGTCTTTCTTAGCAGCAAGATAAGGCTAAGCTTTACCCAAAATCCACCCTAAAATTTCTGTTTTTAAAGCTCACAGGTAAAGCTTATACCCATTACCTATCAACCACAATTGATAGGTGAATAAACATTTATCAGTTTCCTACACACACATGAAAGAATGGAAGTGCTGACTAAAATCCTAGACAGGGCCTAGCCCTGTCTGACTGCCTATAATATTTCTGTCTAGTTTAGCTGTTGATAATAAAACTATCAACAACTTCCCTCATTAGATGGCTATTTCACAAGAAAAGAGCACAAGAAAATTTTGTGTTTTTTGGGGTATTTTTGTTTTTTGTTTTTTTTTTGAGACAGGGTCTCACTATGTAGTTGAGACTGACCTGGAACTCACTATGTAGCTCAGGGTGGTCTCAAACTCAGTGATCCTCCTGCCTCAGCCTCCTGAATGCTGGGATTACAGGCGTGTGCCACCACGCCCAGCCCGAGCACAAGAAAAATTTGTCCTTTATGTATCAGCAGTGCCTAGAACAGGCCCTGTCATCCAGTTGGACCTCATTAAAAATGAGTGACGGGGCTGGGTGGAATGCAGTGGTAGGACACTTGCCTAGCATGGGTTCCATCCTCAGCACTACAAAAAAAAAAAAAAAGTTGACTAGATGAATGGACTCTTCTTCACCCTTAAATGATTCTTTGTATTCCCTCTGACTTCCTCTATGGTAAGCCTTTCGACAGAAACCTGGAGGCTTGCAGCCTCTTGTCCACTTTCTCTGTGTACACTCAGCAGTCTTCACTCCTCTCCATGCCTTTCTTGAGCACCTCTTGCTGCCAGCACCAGGCATCAAGATAAGTTCTTCAGATCCCTCTATTAAAGAGCTTGTGGTTGCCTGAGGAAGATGAATGAATTCATGGCAGATTCTGCTCTGAGCCACGGAAGAAGTTGGAGAATCAGCATCTAGCTCAGCCAGCCAGGCCAAGGACGGCTTTCTAGAAAAGATGACCTGGGCTGCCCTATGTCCTGAAGGACAAGTAGAAATTAGCCAGCATGGAGGAAGGGGACAGGCCCTTCAGGTCAAGGGAGCCACTTGGCCAGAGTCCTGGAGTAAAGGAGGGTGCAGGCAGCTTTGTATGGCTGTAAGGGCTGGGGTACAAGGAGTGTGGAGGAGAGAGCAGGACTGGGCCTTGTGCCCCTGGAAAGCTGTGTGTGTGTGCGCATGCTCGTGCATGCATGCTAAGGGGTTTAGAGTTGTGGTCCCGTGTGACCTAATTGAGCAGCAGCATGCACAGAGGATCGCAGAGGCCAAGCCTGGTCCAGAGTAAGTTCCTGTGGCAGATGAAGATTGCAGTTGTCCCTGCCCTGTAACAGTGGGACTGGAGAGAGGTTCAGGATCTGATGAGATCCTGCCCAGGACTGGAGGGCCGGCCAAGTGGAGCTGGAGTTAGGAGCCCCATTCTATTGAGTCTTCCTGCCCCAGAGGCCTTGCATCCATTCCTGCCCATTCTGCTTCCTAAGCTCACGCCTCATGCTGTCGCTCACCTTGCTAAAAACCCTTCAGAGGGTCTTGTTACATAGCCAGGCATGGTAGCACAGGCCTGTAATACCAGTACCTAGGAGGCTGAGGCAGGAGGATTGCTGTGAGTTCAAGGCCAGCCATTCCAGCCCAACCAGTAAAAACCTAATGACAGTATCCACGCCTGGGAAGAGTACAAGGAAATAGGCACTCGTACTATAGCATTAGTGAGTCAGCCCTCCTTTCTGGAGGGCGATTTGGCCATGTCACAGAAGCCTTAAATAATGTACCTTTTTTGACTTAGCAATTCCACTTCTGGGAATGTGTCCTAAGAGGTAGTTATAAAGATATATGTACAAGGATGCCATATAGCTTTATATATGATTGGCAGAAATTAGACACAACTTACACCAGCAGAAGAGGATTGGTAAACCAGAATGCGGTGTATTCAGAAGCTGGTATATGATGAAGCCTTATTGACTGATTGATTGATAGGTAGTGGGAATTGGACCCATATTTTTTTTTTTCTCATTGCGTTTATTGGTACATTTTAGGTATACAGTATGGACCAGTAGTCTTTATACTGAGCAGTATCTTTAGCCCTTTTTTGATTTTGAGACAAGGTTTTTATTAAATTGGGTTGGGCTTGTATTTGTGATCCTCCTGCCTCAGCCTCCCAGGGTGTTGGGATTATAGTTATGTATCACCACAATGAGGAAAACATTTAGTATTGCAAAGCACATTTGGTAATATGGGAAATACTATGATTTAATTGAGTAAGGCTTTAAAGGAGTATATAGAATATAATACCTTTTTTTTTTTTTTTTGGTACCGAGGATTAAACTAGGGACCTTGTATTTGCAAAGCAGGTGTCAGAACCACTGAGCTAGATCCCCAGCCTATAATGCCATTTTTGTTATAACTTTATCTTCATACCATATCTATGTATGCTTCAAATTGATTGGATTTGCTACTCTGGGATTGATAGAAGACTTGACTGTATAATAATGTCTAGGCTACAAGTCTTACAGGTGATTGCATATTTTCACAATCTTTTGAAGACAGCTTTATCCTAAAGACAAGAAATTTTGGATCTATTCTGAGTACTTATGATCAGCCTAAAGTGCTACAAAAGTTTATATAATTGATACTTTCAGAGTTTACAAGGTTCATTCAGAATTACACCCTGATCTATATTACATACTTGAGAAGATTGCCTTAGAAGTTAATAATATACTTGTCTCAACTTTTTCCTCTAATGGAGAACTTTTCAAATGTTAAATATTTTAACACCAAAGAAACTAAGAAACGATGGATTCTATTTTAACATGGCTTTCAGAAGTACCCTCCATTGTAGTACAAGCATCTGACAATTTAAAAATAATCTCGCTAAAACTGTATGCTTTTGCCTTCAAATTTTCTTTTATTATTTTTAATTTCCAGAGGTGACAGCCACTTCTGCACTCAAAAAGCAGCCATCTACTCATTGAATTTCACAGCAAACCCACCTCACAGGATATTCAAACTTGTTGACCAGATCAATCCATCTATTTTCTGCATTCATACTACCAACTGTAAGTAAATGATGTTGATAGATGGTATTTTGTGAAACTTTGGAAATGTTTTCTTTGAAATCTCTGGAAAACGGCTGGGGATATAGCTCAGTGGTGCTGCATCAGCCTGGCAAGTGCAAGGTCCTGAGTTCAATTCCTAGTACCAAAGAAATTTAAAAAAAATAAAATTTATGGGAAAAAGCCTTATTCAGTTAAATTTTTAGAAAACTGTTTTGGCTGTACATGTGTAACGTGTGGGGCCATTTTACAGGTAACTGAAAGGAACTTTACAGATCTGTGTCACGCACAGTTTCTTTACAAGTAATTGTGCTATGTAGTGGCCTTTTGACTTCTTATACTTGGTTTTAAAGTTTTATACTATATAGACACGCACTGGAATCCACATTTTTATCTGCCTAGTTATCTGTGTGTGTGTTTTAACCTTATTTCCTCCTTACATAATGGTTGAAAATCAGCTTTAGCTGTGAACATTACCTGTGGTTTCTGTTTCCTTTTTCTTTTTACTAAGAATATTTGCATGAAAACCAGATCTTTATTTTTATCTGAGCATCATCTCAAGTTAGTGTCTCAAAGTACATGTGAGTGTGAAATGTTCTCAGGATATCAGAGATCAGGAATGCAGTTATAGTTTTATTTGTCCAAATTCATCGTCTTCTTGGAATGTCTTTATATATTTTGGTTTGGTGTTCTTGTGATTAAAAACTGAGGTATATGCACTGTGATTTGTTACCTGAAGTGACAGCTGACCTGTGACTGCCACATTCTCTGATGTATGCCAGCCTCTCCCGCCCTCCATACACAGTGTGTTTTCTCTGCAGTCCCTGGACTGGAGAAAGTGATGGATTCTCTATGGCTTTTCCTGTGCTGTTTACCTGTAGGCAGGGGAAACCATTATTCTCCCACTGGGAGAAGCAGGCCTAGCCTAGGATCCTGTTTATTTAACAGGTCTCCAGAAGTCCTCGGAGAAGTGAACATGCAAAAAGACTCTATTTTAAAAATATCAGCCTAAGTGCTAATAACTGTTTCAAAAACATTACAGATGTCATATGTAGTACAAATTTTATGCTGATTTAAAATACCTTTTCTAAAAACAGATAAACCTGCATTATCCTTCATTAATCCAGAAGTGCCTGATGAGAACAGTTTTAATAAGTGGATGAAAACATCTGAAGGTTTTACATTGAATGCAGAAGCAGATGTTTCTTTTACAGCCAAATCAGATGCTTTGGATTCTACTAAATATGAGGTGAGCCGAGAATGTTAATTTGTTCATCATGTCATAATACCCTGTCCTTGTGAGTTAACTTTCAATATGGTACCAGCAAAGCTGGCTTCCTCAAGACTTCGAATTGGTATTATATATTAAAAACTTTCATATTTATATTTCCCCTTTTTTGTTTTGTTTTTCAAGATAGGGTCTCACCATACGGTTGAGGCTGGCCTTGAACTCTCAGCGATCCTCCTGCCTCAGCCTCCCAAGTGCTGGCATTACAGGTGTGCACCACTATGTCTGGCCTTAATGTATGTTCATGTTTCTAAGTTGTGAAAATTACATAGGGCTTTTTCACAGTAAGCCTACATTTATTTTGCCTCTGCAGAATTCTTTGTTTTCAGCCTTAAGAGATGCAACAAAATTCTGCAGGTCTGCTGCTAGGAATATCGGATTAGCTGGATGCTTGTCTCGAAATTGTATTTAGTTTCATAGACTTTAGGAAAATATGCACTATTTTCTATCACTTAGTAAGGCATTGAAATGTAACATAACACTGAATAAACTGTTTTTCAAAAGTATGTCTTTGAGCCGGGTGTGATGGCGCATGTCTGTAATCCCAGCACTTGGGAGGCTGAGGCAGGAGGATCGCTGTCAGTTCGACACCAGCCTGGACTACAGAGTTGAGTTCCAGAGCAGTCTGAACTACATAGTGAGACCCTGTTTAAAAAAAAAAAAAGCCAAAAAAACAAAAAGTATGTCTTTAAAAGGGAAGTATACTAGTTTTTTGTTAGTTTTTTGAGACAGGATCTTGCTATGTGGTTCAGGCTGGCCTTGAACTCATGGCAGTTCTCCTGCTTCAGCCTCCCAGTGCTGGGATCACAGGCATGTACCATGCCTAGCTTTGTGCAGTAGTTCTAAAAGCAGATGTATAGAGGTCCCTGAGTAAAAATCTAAAGTTTGGCCAGGGCTTTAGCTCAGTGGTGCCACCACCTGCCTCACAAGCACAAGGTCCTGAGTTTGATCCCTGGTATCAGAAAAAAAAAAAAAAAAGAAATGTAAAGGCCCCTGGTCTCCAATAAAATTCACCCTGCAGGCGCTTGGGTGTGGTTCAGCACAGCTGTGCTCAGCCTGTGTGACGCCCTGGGTTCACACCCACACCAGGAAAAATTTCTTTAAATTCATACTGCAGACTCCTGCATGTGAAATACTGATGTGTAGTCTTGCTGATTTTTAAATGCATCTATGAAATAAATGTACATATATTATATAGAGATTGGATTTATAGTTATCTACATTACTTTAGGAAATTATTTTTTCAGTAATAATCTTGCGCCTTTTCCCATGTCAGTGCAAAACCTGTTGTTTCTTGAGCATTTTCCCTGTGCAAGGAAGATAGAGCTTTCCAGGCGTTACTCCTACAACCTGGGAACAACACACCATTGTCCCATTTCCCTGATGAGAAAGACATAGGCATAGGAAAGTGACTTTTCAGACCTTGTACTAGAGCAGCATTTACAAAGTCTTCCTCTCAGCATATTTGAGCCATTCCCCTCTTCTGAACCTGGGGATCGAGCCCAGGGCCTCATGCACAGTAGGCAGGTGCTATACCACCATTCCCCGCTCAAGCTGTTCTACTCCTAACAGACATTTGCTTCTAGTTTTTGCTATTAGAATAACGAACATTCCCGTGTATATATATATCTTCGTGCAGTTGTCTGATCAAATCCTTAGTGTATATGTCTGTAGATAGTTCAGCTTGGTCAAAATGCCTGGGAAATTTAAACAGCGATAAGCAGACTGCCATCCAGAAAGACTCTAGGGGTTTATGCTCCAGCTACAATAAGTGGGAAGACATTTTCCCATAGCCTCACTCGCACCAAGGCATTTGTTGTAAACTTTCAAATTCACAAGAATTATCCGTATGGCCAATAGCTATAAACTTGGGCTTTGAATGTCGTGGAAGAATTTCATGGGGGATTTAGTTTGGGAAAGAAAGGCCTTCTTGCATAAAATACTGATTCATAACAGTGGCATAATTCTAATGTAAACTGTAAGTGCCATTGGATTAATGCTCGTGAAGCGCACCTGTCCGGCCCCTGTGCCCCGTCTGTAGAGGCGCACGCTTGGCATCTTGTGTGCCCTCCCCAATACACAGCCAGCGATGTGTGCCCACACGGCACCTCGCCAGCTCTCTGTGGGCAAGGGCCCGCCTGGCGTCTGTACATCAGGGTGACCGCCAGTGCTGCGTGGCCTTTGCTTGGTGCCCTGGGAGTCCCAGGCGAGTGCTCACCGTGGCTGTGTTCTGTGTTTGCAGTACGGGGCTCCTCTGCAGGCTCCCGAGGCGTCTCCACATCTGTTTCTGAGATTTCCTTCGCCTCTCACATCGGCTCTGTGCGCTGACAACAACCCTGCCGGTAAGAGTGGCTGCTGTTCTTCCTCTCTGTAAAGAGACCTTGCAGCCAATTTACATCTAGAGCCGTCATGATTAAACAGGTTCACAACTAGAAACAGAATCTTGGGGTTGAAAGAGGCTTAAGGTTTTGGAGTTCAGTACCCAACCTAGGGCAGGAATCTTTCCAGCCAGACATTCACGCTTGACTGCTGGGAGTGATGAGCAGCTCACTACCTGAAAACAGCCCTCTTAGCTGGTAAGTGTTTCCAGGTGTGGGAAGGTCCAAGGCTGTCCCCAGCCAGCGTTTACCAAGCACTTCTGTGTGCTACTCATTGTGTTAAGTGATGCCTGTGATTTTCCAGGCCATCTTCACAGTGATCCTTAGAGGTGAGGTTAGAATCTCCACTGTTTAGGTGGGGAAATGGAGAGGCAGGGGCTTTCTTGCTGGGCTCACACACAGAGTGGTGGAGTAGGGACAGAACCATGCAGTCAGCCTGTGGCCATGCTGTGCTGGGCTCCCTTGCCTCTCACAGTCCCTGCTCCTTTGCAGAGTGATAGGGGAGCTGCAGAACAGCCCAGAGCCCCATCATGAGGTGGCTAAGTAACAGACAATAGGAACCGTGTGGTGTGGTACATGCCTGTATCCCAGCACTTGGGAGGCTGAGGCAGGCTCACTGCAAGTTCAAGGCCAGCCTGGAATATGTAGTGAAACCCTTTCTCAAAAAAACCAAACCAAAATAAAAGAAAAAAGGAGGGGAATGTGTTTTTCTGAGAAGATGCTTAACCTTGCACATGCTGGGAACAGGGAAAAATAAAGCTGAATTGAGATACTGTTTTCACCCATCAGATTGACATTGCTCAAGCACTCATCTCCATAGTTGTGGGATTGTAAATCAGTGCCCCCCGCCCCGTGAGGGGCAGTTTGCCTATACCGTGTATCAGAATTACAAATGATGGAGCCCTCTCACCCAGCTGTTGAACCCCAGGGAGTTGATCCTGCAGCAATGCTGGCCCACGTGCAAGATAGTAGACGCAGCATTGTTGGGAACAGGAGGGCAGAAGAGCCTTAGGTGTGCAGTAGTAGGAGACCGGGGAATCATGGTGCTGCATCTCCAGTAGGACATGAATTAACCCTAAACCCTAACAGCAGGGCACAGGAAGCTCTTCATTACTGAGATGGACTGAGCTTCAAGGTGTTCATTGTTCAGTGGAAAACCAAGGGGCAGAACAGTGTATCTAGCATGCATTTGTTTCCAGGAGTGGAAAAAATAATTTATAAATGGTTCCATGTACATATTTTCTTTGATTTGCATAATCTATTTCCAGAAAGAGGCACCAGTGACTTCCTGCTGGTGCCCGTGGGGAAGGCCGGGTGGGGCCAGGGCTGGAGTCATGGTGGGACTGTTTGGTATCTTTTTGTGCCCTCTGAGTTGTGAACTTTACACCTGGTTGAACACTAATTTTTAATCCCTACTTCAAATATATTGCATTTCTATGTTACAACTTATTTTGCATTTTCACCTGAATGAGTTACCACTGCACAGCTGAAACATTTCTGTGTATGTGTGTGTGTTTTTTTTTTTTTTTTGCTCGTGGGAATGTTATGATTCCAGCATTTCTGGTGAACCAGGCTGTTAAATGCACCAGAAGCATACATTTAGAACAGTGTGAAGAAATGGAGGCCCTTAGGATGGATTATTACAGCAGCCCTGTGATTCTGAGGGTAAGAATTATTTTGAAGTAGAACTGATTCATTAGGTATGTTTTCTGTTCTTTGTACTGTTTTATTTTTGAGATAGGGTCTCACTATGCAGTTTGAGCTGGTCTTGAACTCACTATGTAGCCCAGGCTGGCCTCAGACTTGGCATGATCCTCCTGCCTCAGCCTCCAGAGTGTTGGGATTACAGGTGTTCACCACCATACCTGGCTCTTTGTGCCCTTCTGAAGTATGACAAGTATAGAATAATTTCAGTTGCATGATTGAAATTTCTCAAGGACTTTGATATCAGTGATTATTGAACTAATCCTTTAAATATTTTTGTTTTTATATAGGTAGCTCATATTTTTCTTTCACTCATTTTGCTGGTAACCAATGATGTCTGTCTCCTGAACAGAACAAAATCTTTACCAGGAACCTAAAAACTTTAGAAATAATTAAAATGCTTTAATGTATAGGACAGAAATAATCACATAAGAACCAAAAAGAGCTCTCTGTAGAAGCAGACCAGAAAAGAAGATAAAATCCACTGTTTGGTTGGCAGATGAGCTTGGCAGTTGGGAAAAGAAAGGAATCAGGGTTTCTGGAGCAGGAAGAAGTCATCACGGGGCAAGGGAGCAATGGGAAAACCATGTGATTATTGATCCAGGCGTGGTAGTGCACACTTAAAATCTCAGCACTTAAGAGGCTGAGGCAGGAGGATGGCAGCAAGTTCAAGGCCAGCCTGGGCTATGCAGTGAGACCCTGTCTTAACAAAAAGAAAACAGAGCAAGATTACTGTCCAAAGCCCTCCTCCCCCCATTTATTTTGGTATTTGTGTGTATGGTCTTGGGGATTGAACCCAGGGCCTCATGCATGCCAGGCAAGCAGTGTGTCACTGAGCTATATCCCAACCTCTTTTTGGGAACAAGATCTCGCTAAATTGCCTAGGCTGGCCTCAAACTTGTGATCACCCTGAGTAGCTGGGGTTTTAGGCTTGTGCCACTGCACCTGGCTCTGATTTCTTTTTTGGATCGTGTGTGTGGGGGGTGTAGGGGTAGTCAGTCCATGGCCTCGTCTGCATCTGGGCTTCTGTGTTTACAATGAAGCTTTTCCTCTGTCTCCTTTCTCTCTCCCTCTCTTCTTGTAAGCCCTCTGGGCCTGAGTTCTTCCATTTACTTTGTCTTCTCACAGCATCTGGGGCATCTGGGAAAGTTTTCAGCACAGACCTCCCCAAACATGACTGTTCACCCCCAGTCAGAGCTCTCAATGGCTCAAGAGTGGGGATGAGGTCAGGAGGAGGAGGGAGATCGAGTCCTTCAGGAGATCTTGGCTGTGTTTGGAGATGAAAGCTTGGTACCTGGCAGGAAGACAGGAAGAGGCCATGGGCAGCTCCTGGCCAGGGATGATGTCCTTCCTGTGAAGACAGGTGCTCTGAGAGTGACCAGGAGGGCGGGGGCTGCGTCTTCCCTCCCCACAGTTATGGTAGCAGTGGCCATGTGGCAATGTGCAATAATGACACCAGGGTGTGGAGGCTCCGTGACTCCAGCTGGCCGAGCTGGCCTGTTGTGTTTCCAACCAGAAGGAGGTGAAAAGAGGAGGAAACTGCCGTGACAGTGGCCCAGATGCAGACAGTAGATGGCATCCCTTGATTAAGGCAGATTTGGTGTTCTCCTTGTGAGATCTTTAAGAATGAGTGTGTGGCCTTTGACCGAGGTTTGAAAGAGCTATGAAAATGCTTCTCCTTGTCATACTTAACAAGATTTGTTGTGGTTTCTTTTTGTCTAGGTGCCCAATTCGACAACACAGGTAAGAGAGTTTCTTAATGGAATGCAAGTTTATAATCCACTGGGCCCTTTGAGATGGGTACATTTTTATTACAGGGTACAACGAGCAGAAGTGTGAAATAGGGAAATTCCTTGCAGTACTTCAGATTTTCAGGGTTCTTCTTTTTTTCCTTTTCCTTTTCCTTTTCTTTACTTTTCTTTTTTTGAGGTGCTGGGGATAGAAGCCAGGGACTTGCACATCCTGGACTAGTTTTCTACTGCTGAGCTGCACCACAGCCTGCTAGATCCCACCTGACAGACAGTGGGCATGGCTGCTACCACCCTGGTCTCTTGTCAGGAGGGCCGCTGCCTCCCAGGCTGCTCCGGGTGAAGCAGAGACTCCCTGGCATTGCCCTGGGTGGCAGGTGGCACCTCAGGGGCGGCTGGGGTTGGATTCTGTGCAAGGCCTTTTCGCCCCAGCCAGGGGTCTTTGTGAATGGGTCCCCTGCCCCTTATTCCAGGTCTGTGCCCTATGCACAGTCCCTAAGGAGGCCTGAGGCAGTGGCCTTGCCGTGGTCTCCCAAAGCCTGTGGAATGGGCCAGCCTAGGCGCAACTTCAGCTTTGTTATTTTCTCATCTGCCAGGCACCTCAGCCCCTGGGAGGGTGGGCAGAAGGTGTCTATCTGCAGAGGCCTGGGGCAGGCAAGCAGAAGCAGGCAGGAGACACCCGGCAGTGACAGGGTGCCATTATTTCATTAAGTCTCTGCGCACAGATGTAGGTTTAAGGAGACAATGGAGAAGGATGAGCCAGGTGACTGTATTTCCTCACCTGAGAGGAGCTTGCTTTAGTTCCTGGCCCGTTTTTCTGGTACAACCTCAACAGAGCCCTGCCCAGCACACAGCACAGTGGGTCCCGGAGCCAGGCTGCTTCCTCTTCCGTCCCTCTGAGGAGCCCAGTTCGAAAGCCATGTGAAGCCCTTAGGTTCCTCCAGCCACTAGGACGGGCTTTGATTCTGCTGCTCCAGAGTGGAAAGTCTGTGGCAACGCCCCTTCCGCCTGGCCCGCGATGTTCAGAGCAGCACGCGAGTACGGGTCGTGGGTTACGTGCCGAGCGCCGAGTGGCTGACGGGGGGCTCCGTCAGGGTGGGGGGAGCCTGTCATGCACAGTGACAATGTAGCCGAGGAGCGCAGAGTGGGGGCCAGTCACCATCCTTCCTAAGTGTGGGACTCAGCAGGCCCCGCTGCGGTCTCTCTTGGGCAGGCGAGTCATGCGTGCTCACAGCAGAGCTGGGGTGGGGATGCGGCTGTCTGGCCTCAGAGGTGTACTCTGCCACATGACAGGCCCGTGTCACCAGCTTCACATGCATCCCCTGTGCTTCCTGCAGCTGCACACTCAGGATGTGGCCAGCTGGGATTTCACCTCATGGCTGTGTGACACCAAAGCTTATGTCGTAAAGGACAAGCATGTGAATTAGTAGCAGAGAGTTGTCTAAAAGGAAAAAAGACAAAACTTGCAGGGTCTCTCAGGTCAGCAATATGGAGATTGGGTCCTGCCTGCCCTTTTGTGAAGCCTGCTGTGATTTCCCTGAATCCCAGTCCCTGGCTTCTGATCCGCCCAGGAGAGTGTTTTCTGCCCAAGTGTGCTTGCTGCTTTCCCAGGGGACGGTATGAGATGGCTATGACCAAACAGGACATTGAGGAGAGCAGGCCAGTCTCACTGCCTCATGCCTGTGACCCTGCTGGATGGTGGTGGCAGCTCCATCAATGACACCAGGCAACAGGTGTTCACATGGCTGGAGCCTCTGGCGGGGCTGGGTCGGCACTGCGCTCCCAGATCTCTGGGTCTCCCTGAGTCAGGCAGAGGAGCGCGGTAGCTCACGGCACAGGGCTCCTGACGGGGCTCTCCAGTCACTGGTGCAGCTTGTTGGGAAGAGGGCACAGCAGCGATTGGCTTTGTCTTCCTGCCATTCTTGTCACAAGACAGCTCACATTCTACTGTGACAGGCCTTGACCTGGAAGGACAGTTGCAGGTGTGTTTGGTTGTAGGAGCAGATACATAAGGACTGCTGATTTATCTAAAGAGACAGCTTCAATAATGGCACGGCTGTGTGTGTGCACATGCTGGGTTTATATTGTGCTGGGAATGGAACCCAGGGCCCTGCCTCACACACACTGGCAAATGCTCTACCTCTGAGCTGCAGCTCCAGCCCTTTTTATTTTGAGACAGAGTCTCTCTTTGTTGTCCCAGCTTGGCTTTGAATTTGTAATTCACTTGCCTTGCCCACCACTCCCCTAGTACTTACCAATTTTAAATTATAGACAGCTTGGCACAAGGCTGAGGGCAAAGTCCAAATCGATAAAACAACTGGATACATCAAGGTCCTTTCTAAGTGGTTTCCCCAATTGAAATGTGGAGTACCTGTGACAGATTTGGGTCTCATCTGGAGGCCCAGCCGTCTTTAGACGATTGCTTGCTGCTTTGTTGCTGCTGCTGATGACCACAAATGACAAGTGTCCTTTCATAGCATTGGGATCACCAGGGCTTCCTGATTCTGCTTTAACTGTTTGCTGTCTGTTCCGTGGTGTCCACAGCCCCACCGAGAGAGAGCCAGTTTGTGTGTGTGTGAGGCTGTGTGGAGAAGTCGTGCTTCACTGAGTCATGCTGCGTTCAGGGGGTTGAGGGCCGTGGCCAAGGATGCTGGGGCTGCACGCTGTGCTCGTGTGTGGATTTACTGGTAGGAGTTGTGTTTAGGGTCAAGAGCACGTATGTAGATGTGTGGTAGAAACTTCTGTGCTTGCTTGTTGGTGCTAGGGATTGAACCTGGGGCCTTACATGCTAAACATGCCCTGTACCACTGAGTTACACCCCCAGCCTCAAACTTAACCACTTTTAAGCCCACAGTTCAGTGGCTTTTAGGACATTCACACGGTCATGCAAACATCACCACTAATTCCAGAATATTTTATCACTGAAGAGGAAACCCTGTGCTCATTACCTCTATCTCTCCATTATTCCTGGCTCTGTCCTCTACCCCTGGCAACCACCATGACACTGCTTATATTGCGTAGCCTCTGGTGTCTGGCTTTTTTCACTTAGCATGTTTTATTCATCTACATGGTAGCATGTATCGTGCTTCAGTTTTACAGTGAATAATATTCCTTTGTGTGGATAGGCCACATTTTATTTGCCCATTTATCAAGAGATACACATTCGGGTTGTGTGCAGTTTTTAGCTATTAGGACCAGGCAGCCATGAACATTCATTTGGAAGTTTTTGTGTTAACACCTTCTCAGAGGTATCTATTTTTAAAGTTTTGGTTACAGCCTTCTGGAATATTTTCTTTGTGAATGTAAATGTGCACTGACACAAAGATATGTTTGGTTTTTGTGGGGTGTTTTGGTGCTGGGGTTGGAAGCCAGGCTTCGTGTGTGCTCTCTCACCAAGCCCCAGCTGACTCCGTCTTTGTGTTTTGCACGTGTATATTGTTCCGCTCCCCTCATTGCACAAGGCGGTGGGGTTGGGGCTGGGGCTCATGCTGTTGTTACTTGAGCCCCATCGCCTCTGTTGTAGTGTGGAGTCTTTAATAATCCAGGCCTTGTTTACTTCTCAGGTCCCGATCACTGTCCAGTCCATCACTGTTCAATCTCTAAATAAAACACGGACCCTCCTGGAGGACACTGGCATACGGCTGCCTTCTCTTGTCGATTCTGGGCGCGACAGGATCTGCATTAATGTTGTGCTTGAGGTGGGCGCCCATGTGGCCTTTTACATCCCATTTGTCTGTGGCAGACCCCAGCCGCCCATCTAATGGGGTAAGGAGATGCCCTCCAAAGGGGGCCCTGGGCCACCCTGCGGTGCCGCTGCTTTTGGCCTGGCCACCTGCTTGCCTTTGTGCCATCTCCTCAGAGGATGCTTCTTTACTTGTTGTACAAGCCTAGCAGCTTGCATCCCAGTTCTGATGCTGCTGTCATTTTATTTGTTGGGACTTGTCTCCTCTGTGGAGCTGGGCTGATCACCTTTTGTTTGGACCAACCGCATTTGTTAGGCCCCAAGAGGCAGCAAATGCTGCTCAGATCTGCTTGGGTGGAGAAAACCTGCAAGAAATGGAAAAGGACTTGCTGCTTATGGCTCTTTTATTTATTATTAATGCGGCCGCTGAAATGGAAGGGGACCTGGTGCATTTGGGGTTTCATTTTGTTCAGGTGAAGTACAGCCTTACGTATACAGACTTAGGTGAGATCACCAGAGTGGGCCTCTCACTGCTTCTGGGGACGGTTAACCGTGCATCCATCCCCCTGCAGCAGAAGTTTGAAGTTCACTTTATTCAGGTAAGTTGGAGCATTTTGTCCAAGTTTCAGCTACCAAGTAAAAAAGGAATTATAATTTCTTAATGAGACAAAATCAATTTAGCAGTATGACTGCAGCTCACCCTTGGTACTGACCAGAGGGTTCAAGTGGGCTTGGGGTTTGTAACTCAACCAAGCCCATCCTGTGTCTCTCTCTCCTTGGGGACAAGGTTCCCTGCCATGTTCGCTTGTTCTTTTACAGCATGATGTCCTCCTACACTCAGCAGATATATTTATAGTTCTGAGTAGGGGGAGAGGTTCTTTTATTGGTTGGTAATTCCACATTTATGAAAAGCATTTCATTTTCTCCCTGCCATTTCCCTATTAAAATGAGCATTATTGGGGGGGGCACATTTCTGCATTGTTTTTCAGCAAAACACAAGGCCTGTTCCTCTCAGCGGCAACCCTGGCTACGTGGTAGGGCTCCCACTGGCCGCCGGGCTGCGGCCCCAGAAGGGATATCCTTTCCGTGTGGAGGGCACTTCTCTGCCTCGCCCAGGACTCTGTGGGCCAGAGCTTCCTCCTGGTGACCCAGGGTGGGGAGTTAGTGGAGACCGGTGCTCGGGGGACACCGCATGGCAGGGGCAGATGCCAGTGTTCTAAAACACACAAGAAGACAGAAGAGTCGATGTTTGGATGCATTCTATTTCACATTCAAACACAGCCTCCTAAACAAACTTCATTGCTTAGAAAATTTGGACTTAATTTTGAAGTGCCATTTTGTGAGGATCTCTCTCCTGGGATGTACTTATCAAGGAAAACACTTACAATGAGGTTTTGTTGTTGTTGTGCCCCACCCCCAGGAATAACTGTCAACTTCCTAGAGGCCTAGAGAAGGGGGGTCCGGTGTCACCGTGTGACATCGTTCTTACCTGAGAATCAAGTTTCTCTGGCACTGGGCAGTTGTCCCTTAACTCTCAGTGAATGTCTGCGATTATTCAGACCACGGATAGATACGGACAACTCACTATTCTTCGTAGCACAACTGAGCAAGACTGCCTTGCAGAGGAGGGGCTCCGGACCCCAGTGCTGTTCGGATACAATATGCAGACTGGCTGTAAGCTCAGGTGAGGTGACTCGTTCTGGGGGACATTTGTGTCCATCAGAAAGCACAGCGTCCCCACCCTTCCCCACTTTAACCAAACCTCTGCCTCAGCAGCTGAGCTCCTGCAAAAGCCACATGAAGTCTATCACTATTAACAAATAGTAACAGAACAGGAAAAATTGAGGAGCTTTGTATGTTTCATGTTTAAGGTTGCATAGCCCTTGAGTTCAGGGTAAAAATATTTTCTCTGAAAGTCCTTCCTGTGTTTCTGAATTTTAATATACATAGCACAAGAAAACCAATGAAAGGAAGCCTGAATGTGTTTTGTTTTCTTCTGATAGCAGGGATCAAACTCAGGACCTTGCGTGTGAGGCAGGTGCAGTGCCACTGAGCTAAATGTCCGGCCCCTGTCTTTCTTTTTTTTTGTGTGTGGTACTGGGGATCGAACTCAGGTCCTTGTGTTTGAGAGGCAGGTGGTGGAAATACTGAGCTAAATCCCTGGCCCACAGCCCCTATCTTTTTATTTATTTTTTGGTACTGGGGATTGAACTCAGGTCCTTGGGCTTGCAAGGCAGGTGGTGGAACCACTGAGCTAAATCTCTGGCCTCCTATCTTTTTAAATCAAATATGTAATATGAGATGTCAAGGAGCCCTACAGCTTGTTATATAACCAGAAGCTGTCACTCTCATTTGCTCTATCCTAGAGGCAACCACTTTCAACATCTGTAGCTGCTTTTTTGAAATCTTCCCTAGATCTTCAAATAACCTGCACATATTTCTTCTTCTTCTTTTTTTTTTTTTTTTTTTTTTTTTTT